ATTGCAAGATAGTTGCCTACTAAAGATCATTTATTAAAAAAAAAAAACAAAACCCCATTCAAATTCTTCTTTCCTTTTTTTGTGACTGTTTTGCTAACTTAGGAGCATTCAGCTCTAATTCTTCAGTGGTTCTGGGTGTTTTAAACTAATTTTTGCAATTTCAGACCTGTTCCAGTGACAGTTGTATAGTTGCTAGTCTTTTGCATTGCTTATCCTGGTTTTGTCTGTCTTGTTTGACTGCTGATATCTTAAGGGGAAAGTCTCAGATTCTCACTGAAAGAAATGCTAAGGATAGAAAAAGAATGGGGAATGAATTATGCACCGTGCTTTATTCAGTGGCAGAGTCTATTGCTCCCCCAGTGACTGGTTTTTATAATGCTGCTGTATTTTTATGTTTCAGTACTTTGTCATAATGTATTATTCCTTCTTAATTTTTTTTGAGATGGATCTGATAAACTGTGGATAGTAATATCTTGAATTATTCTCTGGGTTGAGAGGATGACCCTTGTTCCATTCTAAGTTTGCTGTTCAGAGGCCGTTGGTTTCCCACTCTTTTCTTCTTTCCTGCCTACCAAAGCCACCCACAGGATTTTACAGGTTTTGTGGATGGCTATGTGGGTTTTCTCTTGGCAGTGGTGTTTCCTAAACTCTGTGATAGCCCACATACCATTTGGAAATGTGGTGAGCATACCTCTGTTTGGTGTTCATATCCTCAGCTATATGGGTGTTTCAAGCTAAGCACATGTACGGCCTGTGGGGAGAGGTGTTGCAGAGTGGCAGGTGTGATGACGGATCTCTTTAGAGGGCAGAGCCTTACGGAGAGACATCTGCTCCCTGGCTTTCATGCAGTGCTGCAGCATTTGTTACACTCCTGAGTCTTGCAGAGACTTGACACAACTGGTCAGTGAGCTGATCAACCGCATCTTTTGTGAGCTGGAGAGAGAGGGAAGGGAACTGTGAGTTCATGACTTTGCAGATGTTGAAGTAGGTGGGCACAGAGCTTGGAGGACCATTGATGCAGTTCTGCACGTTATATTCAAGACTTGACAAAGTTAGTCTTTCTGATGGTTTTGCCATTACTGTGTTTAAATCTCCATTACTGTGTTTAAATCCTGTGTTCTTTAACACTGTCCAGTTCATATATTGGGAGAATAAACACACAAAGGCCTGTGTTACACAGAGAAATGAGAGAAAATGTAAATGTCATTACTATTACTATAACTCCATGAGTAGAAGAAACATCTAATACTCTGTGGAATGTTGATTGCCCCCACCATTTCAACAATTGTATTGATTTGTTTGCAACACTATACTGTGCTAAATGCCACCAATTGAGTTGCAAAAAGCAAAGCATAATTTTCCACTTCTACAGTTACGTTCTGGTTTATAATTATATTTATCTCTTGTACCCCAAATGAGTATTTCAGTAATTTATAGGCCTTCCTACACTGTTGCATACTCTAAAGAGATTAAAGGAATCTTGTGAACAACTGGTGGGAAAGCAAAATCATAGTCATCTGTGTGTTCATTCAGTATTGATGGTGAGATTTTCTGAACCTTGGGCCAAAATCTTGGTAAAAATGACCAATCGTGTTTGAATTTGGCTAGATTGAATACTGAATATGGTTCTCTTCTACATATGGACAGAAATCTGCCTCACAGCTATGGACACAAGAAACCTATTGCTTGAATTAAAATTCTTCCCTTTAAGCATTTCTTTATCCCCCATCAAAATAAAAATCTTGCAGACTTTAGGTGTCGAGGATCTGATTTTGACTTACTGGAATACATTGAGTGTACGCAACTAAATTTCTGTTTAGGCTCCTAGTAGAAGGATAAATCATAGATGTATTTCATCTAGGAAGCTTGATGCAAAGATAGGATGGGTTATTCAAACAAAGAACATCTCAGAACCAATGGCTAAGATGAGCTGTGGCTAAGATGAGCTTTCATGCCTACTAACCTCACCTCCTTGATAAACTAGAGATTATTTTAGAATTACAATAAAATAATTTTATTAAATGCAGAAGGTGTATAACCTTCTGAAAAAATCAGGTTCCGTATCCATTCATGAAGTCATAATCTTCTGTCTTAGGCTGTCTTCACGCATAAGTGGTTGACAAAGCTGACGTTTAGATACAGCATTGATGCTTGCACTTCTAATTCTGACTCTGCAGTGATTTGAGCGGATAATAAACTCCAGTTATGCACTGTGGTCCAATGCCACATGACCTGTAGTTTTTTTCTGGATGTGCGTCAGCATATTTTTGTGCCAGATCACAAATTGGGTAATCCAGTGCCTCTGTCATTCTTGCCACTTTATTTGTATTTATTGTGACTGGCTTTTACACACTGTAAATGGCACCAGTGGAGTTGACTGTGCTTTTTATATAGAAGAAGGGTTGCTATAAAAATGACTAGAAGATGATATGTGGCTAGGGAATGAATATCACTCATTCCCCATGAAATGTAGTGAGTGGATGGACAGTACGTCATGCTGATAACGTCCATGTAAAAGATATATCAAGGGATGAGAGCTAGAATGAAGAGTATTTTGAAAGGCAGAAGAGAATGAAGCTGAGGTTATGCATTTATTGCAGATTGCAAGAGCTAAGGAGTCTTGCTTTTCCTTCCCCGTTAGAACAGGCCACTGCCACCTGTGTCCTGCTGTGTTCTCAGCTTGCATTCCTGATGGGAGTGAGCAGCTGGGGCTGGATTCACTTGCTGAAATGGATGTGTTTATTACCTCTTGGGATGCTGCAGGGCATCTGGCTGCCCGTGCAGTAAGGTTCGTGTCTTGCCCAGATTACTTTTTTTAATGTAAGCTCTGTGTGGATGTCTTGGACATACTAGGGTGCTCGTAATTAGGCACTTGAATTGAACGTCTAATTCCTCTTGCTTGTTTTATTTCATTAGTGTGTTATATTTGTGTGTGTGCATGAGATTTAATTTCTTACTGTTTTGCAGATTTATGGTAGTTTGAAATTAAGATTCTTTGCTATACTTAAATCTGATCGATTAGTTGTGCTATGGTTTATTTCTTGTTAAAGTGGTGAAAAAGCTATCCTACCTTGTATTTGCTAAGCACTTTTTCTGAGATTCCTCCATTTCAATGGTAGCAGGAAATCTTGAGGTTGTATCACTGTTTAGTATTTATTTACTGCTGTCTAATTATAAGGGTGACATCTTGTTTTAAGCATTTATGTTGCTTTAAACACTTGAGTAATATGTGAGACTAGCTCACATTTAAATTAAATATAGGCAGTGAGCAGTTGTGGTGTGTTGACCAGCTTGGGATTTTATTTGTTTGTTTGTTTTCTCAGCACTGAGAAAACTAAATTCTAACACAATATGAATAGGATAAATCTATTAAAACAGTTAATTGTTGACTCAAACTTGTTCATGGGTGCTCTTCAGTTGGCAAAGTGCAACATTGCATAACGTTATTTTTAGGTCCACAATCAGAACATTATTAAGCATTTCTTTTAGAAGAAAAAGAAAATGCCATTCACAAGCCCAGTATGTGATATTTAAAAAGCAGGAGGCTATTAAATTGAGTATCCTTAGCTATACAGTTTAGTCTTTCACTTTCAAGTAGATTAACATGTAATTATCATAGAGACCCGTAGGAAAATTTTCATGCTCTACAGTTACACTTTTTGATTCCTTGTTTTGTTTTATTTCTGCTTAGTTTGCTATGTATTACTTAATAGGATGAGGATTAATTTTCAGTTTCAATTTTAAACTTAAGGTAAGAATTTATGTCCTTCACCTGATGAGTCTGAGATACGGAAGAAAAATTAGTGTATCAGAAAAAAAGGAAAGAGAACTGTGAAATTTTAAACACTGTTTTCTTAATTTACCTTCTCAGCTCGCAGAGAGTACCACCTGGCAGTATCAAGCAAACTGGGGGATTTTTTGTTGTTGTTTATTTTTTCCTTCCAGGTGGTAGCCAGCTTAACACTTCTCAAAGCCCAGTTGCTTGTGTTTCTGCTGTGATACCTTTCCTGTTTGTTTATGGGTCTCCAGGATTACTCTGTAACTTTTTTCTCTAAGTGGTGTTGTTTAAGAAGCATTTGCAAAGAGTAGTACAGGTGGTATTTCTTTTTTCATTCATTTTTAAGCTAAGAGGTTTTTGTGAACCATTTGCTGCCCTGTTAAGCAGTCCAGACAAGTAAGTTGGGTTTTTTAGCTGATCTTTTGGCTCAACGTCCCTTCTAGTTACTGAGGGGGAACATGGAGAAGAGTGCTCTTCTGTACTGCTGTGTGTTTCATGTGGTGGTAGGTGTGATGATGGGAAACATCCTCTGTGTTTCTCATTTGATCTCAGATCAGAATTATCTGCTGATCTCAGGACAAGCAGATTACTGTAGTTAAGCATTTGTCAGCCTGCAGGGAAGATCTTCGTGTATATTGTAGTCATGGGCTCTGCTCTTCTTTCTTCAGTGTCTTCTTCATAGTATCTATGTTAAAGCTTAAAGTTTAAACTCTGTTGCATACTTGTTATGTATTCAGAAGACGAGGCAATGTCTGCATGAATAATTCCACTATTTTATTATCCCTATAAAAAATATTTTTACATGGCAAAGGACACGTTGATAAGTGAAGTCCCTAATGTCTCTGAATAAATCTCATAAGAGCAACTACTTTCTTTTGACGTTTTTGCCTTTCATTGCTAAAGTGATAATAATAAACATACCTTTAGAGTTACAGAAGGCAAAGACATGCATGAGAAGGAAATTAAAGCATGGTTAACAGCAGTAGCTGGCATTTTGGAGGAGACTACTTAAAAAGCTAAACAGAGCGGTGCAAAAGCCACTGTTCAAGATCTTTGCTGAAATGAAGACAAGAGTTGAAAGGACTTTTCTTCCCTGTTTTAGTGTTAAATTAAATGTTATTGACCTTCTTTTTCAAAGATCTGTCTGGGAGGAAAGACAGGAAGTATTGTTTGTTTGTATGTAAAAAAAAAAAAAAGTTTGAAAACTAAACCCACGTTTGACATGGAAGCTGATAGTTTCACTGGAAAAATTCAGCCTGAAGTTTACTCTTGTAAGAAAACCCCTGGAAATATAAGTGGGTGTGTTCTGCTTGAGTAATCACATGTAAATGCAGAGGTGCCAGCAGCACTATAATAATGGACTGTAGTGTCTTTGAAGGCACTCTGAAGCTTCCGTTCAAAGACACTCTTAAATAATTAAATCATTATTTTTTTTTTCCAATTTACATGGAATATGTAATGACATTCCCCAAGTACCAGATTTCTTTCCCTTTTCTTTCTCATGCAAAGAATAAATAGCATAGTTTAATTAAGACACTGCTTGCTAACCTGCATAGTAAAGAAAAGCGATGAAAGAGCAGATCCAGATAGTTCTTTGTTGTGACCCTCAGCAACCTTTTCTTAACACAGAAGTTACAGCTTGAAAAACCTAGGTACCTCTGAGGTGATCTTAGAAGTCTGGCTTCCCCTCTGCAAATAAAGGGAGGCAATTTTGTCCGCTTTGATATGCCCTCTGGCTCCTGTCAGTTCACCATTTACATGGTCCTCCTTATAAGATTGACTGCTCAGCTGGCTGTACGTGGTTTTAAATTTTTTTTTTTTTTTTTTTTTTCCCCCCCCCCAGATACTGAGCATCTCTATACAGTAGTGTTCGAAGAGATCTGCGGGCGTTTTGGAAAGACCTATACCTGGGATGTGAAATCCTTAGTCATGGGTAAAAAAGCCTTAGAAGGGGCACAGATTATTCGAGATGTTCTAGATCTTCCAATAACCAAAGAAGAGTTACTACATGAAAGTAAAATGAAACAGGAGAAGATATTCCCTACTGCTGAATTGATGCCAGGTATGTTTCTCTCCAGTATTTATAAACTGTTTATGGAATTAATTAAACACTAACCAAGGTAGAATTTTTTAGTCTGCCTTCCACAAAACAGTTTCTCTTACAGATTCAGTTTCATCACTCTTGTTTTATCAAGTTTTACTCAAATCTACCTGTTATTTACCTGTTAAACAGTACTGAAAACTTTTTTTTCTTGTTTACTTGGGCAACAACTTTTTTTTCTATATGTTTTAAAAGAAGAAAAAAGACTAGGTAAATGCGCATGAATTCTGTTTTGTAAGCCAGACATTCTTTATAATTGTTGTTGGCAGCTGTGTAACTTGGCAAGTTAATTTTCTCTGGCTATGAGCGTAGTCCAGCTTTGTTAAGCACAAATACACTTTTAAATGTGCAGGCAAATGTATGAGCCCATGGGTTCTTTGAGCTGGGATTCATCTTGCCTAACCTGAACATTGAAACTCAAGCGTGGCATCTGAGCCAGCTGTGTGTCAATGGAGAGGGAGGGATTCTCAGGTTATCCTAAGATGGGTAAGTTTGATCACCTTCTGAAGATAACCTGTCTTACTAGTGATTGTACAGGAAACCCAAATGAGTAGCTTAAACCAGGTACTTCAAGATAAGCAAGAGGATAAATCTTATCTGTGGTGTGAACTTTTGTATTCCATTATATTTACAGATGTAAATATACTTATTTACAGTGTTAAGAGTAAGGAGTCTCTGTGTAAGCACTCTAAGGAGTGCTTAGAGAAAAATTGCATGGCTGACCATACAAGACAAGCAATACCTAAGGCTAGGATTGCTGTTAACTTTTTGTACAATGTTAAACTTACTAGAGCAAATATCAATAATTTATGAAGAAAAAAAAAAAGGAGGAGAGAGGAGAGGTGAAGGAATTAAAAAAAGTATTAAAAGTGAAGTAGCTACATAGCTACATGTCACTATAACAAGTCTCTTGCAATTTCTTTTCTTTGAATGTGTGCTTGTTTGTTCTGATAACCTCTACAGTCAATAATGATGTTTTAATTTTTAGATGCTTTTTTATGCCTATTTTTATAATGCATTAAGGGGACAAAAGTTAAAAATATGTGATATGTTAGGAATAAATAACAAGCAGCAAAAATAAAAGGTGTAATTTTTTTAGGCAGCTTAAAAACTTGAGTATTTTGTGCAGCCAACTTACTTAGTTACCTCTCTGGAGTCTTTTATATGCAAAATTTTTCAAATTGCATCTTTCTCACTTATAGATCCACCTAAAACTCTAATCCTTGTTAAACTGTCCAGGAAAACAAGAAAAATAGAGGGATGTCTTTTTCACTTTTCGTGTCAAACTTCTAGGACTAACTTTGCAGCTATGTCTTTTGCAAGACAAAAAACCCCTGGTCTGGGCTTAGAAAACGCCAGGTGGACAGACTGGGTGAAATGTTAGGAGGCACAGAGAAGAGTCGCTGTAATGTAACAGCACAGGTAATACCTGCCATTAAGTGGATATTCTGTGCCTGCTGAGGATTGTGATAATGTGGCTGAGCTGTCTCGAACACAGTTGCAGAGAGGTGATGGAACAGATGAGCCGAAGTTTTGTGCTGTTGCTGCCTTCAAAAAGTAAATTCTGGCCTCACTGAAGCTGGGCTGTTACATGTGAAACAAGCAAAATTCTAACTGGGACAAGTAAACATTTTTGTTATTGCCAGAATTGTTCAACTGATTATCTTTTCAGTTCAGCTAAATACATGTAATAACTTCTTCAGACTGTTTTCTAAAGCAGAATTGATGTGAACTTAAATACTTTATGCTCACTGGCCATTGTGGGGAGCAAAGGCAGCCTTGGTGACTGATATAATGGGATCTCTCTTTACTTGGTAGCAGCATATGAGATACAAGCTGAATTGCCATGAATTTTGAGAAAAACAGGTTGATGTCAGCTAATAATCTAGAAAGAAGTGGCTCCAGCTACTTACTGTTTTAGTTTCTTTAAGAACTGACTGGTTCTCCAAACTGATAACGAGATTTTTTTAATCTGATACTTTTCTTCTGTCCTTTTGTATCTACTGAGGATATCCTTGTGGATTTACTCTACGGCCTCTTAATGTTCTTTAATTAAGAATGGACTTCATGCAGGTGTTGTGTAAGATGTAAGACTGTTACCTGACTAAACTAATCTTTCAGATAGTTACAGGTAAATACAGGAAAGTGAAAGTTAATTGTCATATTTATTAATGGTGTAAGATGACTGATGTGCTCAGTCTCTGGCTGTCTTTTGAAAGCTAATAGGCAGGTGAGGTTCTGTTTTTCAATCAAGTTCTACAGTTCTTTAAAAAAATAAGATTCAAATTTGGTTTGGTGGAGAGCAGTGCTGAATGATGACCAATGTTTGAAAAAGTGACTTGAGCAAAGCACTGCTTGTTTCTGGACACAGAATGGGCTATGTGCATGTTTTTGCCAGTGATGACAATTGTTAATTCCCAAATCAAGTAATTGACAGGTATGTCAGTGATGGTTAAGGATGGTATGGAAGTTGTATGAACATACAATTGGCAAAGCAGTTCTTTGCCTGACAAGATATATCACAGCCATAGGACTTGATATACAACAGTTCTGAGACATTAGAAGGTGAAGACAGAATTTTGACTATTTCCGTATGGCTGAACTAACTGACAAGCTTCATCAAACTGTAGTCAAAATACAGATTTCATCGATGAAGAGGATGTATCCATTTCTAACACAGAATTGTCCAGTAGGTATTCAAGGGTTTTTCACAGTTAGATTTATTTTTAGTTCTGAAAGAATCTTAGGAAAGGCTAGTTTTGATTCAATGGAGAAAGGAATTAATCCAAGACAATGCTGACAAAATGACAGGGCTGCCACTTGTGCTGCTTTTCTAAATATCTCTGACAGTATATAGACCTTGTTATCCCTAGTAGTATAGTAGGCTTTCTGTTTCTGCAAATGCAGTACTATATTGCAGGGAAGTGGATCACTGGAAGAATAAGGCGTGACGTTTACCTATACATGTATAGGTATGCTTTTGCTTAACGTAAACCCAGAATATACACAGAGCCAGAAAAACCTAACTCCATGTTACACAGCTGCCAACAGTTACTATAATCATGTCAGGGTTGTGAAATTAATGCCATTCTTTCATGGCAGCCTCTGTTTTTTGGCTCATCGTCACCAGAAAGCACAGATCCTTAAAGACTGTGTGGGTGTGTATACCTTTCAGATGTTTTCCATTCCTGGGTCATTTTCCTGATAACTGGGATTTCTTTGTTGCAGCTCCTGTTCAGCCAGTGCAGAATGTGATGTGCAAACTATTTTCCCGTTCAAATACAGTTGACTTATCTCTTGCAGACATAAGGAGGTAATTTCATAGCTCAGTTTTAGTACCAAATGAAGCCAGTCAGAAATCACAAAAAGAGAAGAAAGAAAAAACAGTTCAAGTTGCAATGACAACTCACTCTGAAGTCATATGTATATATATTTTTTTATTTTTTTTTCTTGAACAGTTCCATTCAATCAGCGGTCTAGTTTGCCTAGCTATTGTTTTCTTGATTCATGTTGTGCCCTTAACAGTTAGACAGACTTCCTACCATGTTATCTTTTCTTTTCCTTGCTATTATTGTTTTAATGGTAGGAAACTAGTGAGTCCATGCTGGGCTCAGTGAGCCTGTAAACCCCTAGAGATCAGTCAATTAGCTGCAAACTTGGAATGATGCTGTCTGTTAGGCTGATTTCAAACATTTGGCCTTTGTATTAAGTCCTAAAGGATTGCAACCCAAAAATGCTTTTACCAGGAAGTCGGCAACACATTTGACAGAGGTTCTGAACTGTGTAAAATTTAGTACTCGTATTTTCTCCATGGCCATGCATGTGTCAATAAGTCCAGGCTAAAATGAGATTATTGATTTGGTGGACAGGAAGTCCCTGCCTCCAGAAGGATCTTTGGTACTTTTTAAAGAGCAGTAAGATGAGAAGATAGAATTCTTTATTAATAGCCAATTACCATCCAAATTAGGGAGCAGGTTATTAGTTTCCACCTCCACTTCTGTAGCTCTTTGAAGTGCAGATAACATTTTTTAAAAATGTCTCAGAACTAAAAAGAAATGGGTGGATCTGAGAGTTATGTTTCCATAGGCTGACCAAGGTAAAGCTTTCCTGGCAATTAGACCAAGTGGGGAATTACTCCACCTCTGTCACACTGTCACTTCACAGCAGCAATGCTGACTTCACTTGAGGATTGAGAGCAAGTGTAGATAATGAATAGTGCCGTGCTGATGGGCTTGCAACTGTTGTAGCACATCAGACTACATAAAAAGTATTTTTTAATCAGTTTGTGACTTAAGTGAACAGAGAGCTGCTTCTTGTTCTAAGTGTGATTATTTTATATTTTTTCTTTGCTGGGTGCTTTTAGTGTTCAGAGGCTGCTGAGATTTTTACCATAGAATTGCTTTTTATGAACTTAGATTACCATCAGATTGGCTAGAAATCCAATCAATTTGACAAAGCTCTGAGTGGTAATGTTAGCTTTTCTTTGATTAAACAGAATGATGAAATCTTAAAGAGCTTTAAGTTTGGTGTGGTATCACATTCAATGCAGGAACTGTAAATGATTTTGAAAAAGAGGAACAGTCTTTTCATACAGAGGCTATATTTATCCTTAAGATTTCCATTTGTGCACAACTGGACATAAATCATCAAGACATGCATAATGCATGTACACAGTTAATTTAAACAATGCATGGAGCACTTTGGTTTCCTTTAGTCTTTTTCTCAGCAGTAAATCTTTTCTTCCAAATACAAACTGAATGCTCTCAGACAGCTTGTTTTGTGTAACATTACAGCAAAATGAAGTGGACTTGAATATGGGTGTCTAAAGAGCCTTGATTCTGGTGCCCCAGAGGTCAGGTGTCCTCTGTCCTCATGCCGTTATTGTGACTGTATCAATGTAGTGGTGAATGAAGAGCAACGCTGAGATAGATGTACATGAAGATCTTCTTAGAGGTAGTGCT